TTAGGGTTTAGGGTTTACAAAGGGAAAGGGTCCCAAGGAGAGTTTTCTATAAAAAAGGGTCCCGTATAGAGAGCCCAATGCACTGTGATCCTTATTATGAGGAATTCAAAAATCTACTTGGTGCTTAAGGGAGAGCTGGCGAGTGGATCCTTATGTACCCCTATAGGGGTCCCTATATTCACTCCCCCACTCCCCTGAAGCACCAACAATAAAAGCGATCTCTCCTTGTTTAAAACTTCAACATAAGAGGTTTGAAGAGGCCGAGGGCCTGATTAGAGCTTGCTGCTGCTACTAGTAGTAGTAGTAGTAGTAGTACTAGTAGTACTAGTAGTAGTAGTAGTAGTAGTTGCGGCTATTCTTCCCGCTGGATTGCTAAGGTCCTGACTTGTCAATTGGCAGGGGCCTCATGAGTGTGCTGCCTTTCCATATATATATATATACACATGTATGTACATTTGTACATAAGCTCGTAGCAGTGTACGGGGCATGTCTATTGACTTCTAGTCGGAGGCGCGAGCCATTGAGTACTGTCATCGGCATGACGTGACCTCCTCAGTCGCCTGCAGTGGGAACCAGGGACGATGGAGGGCTGCTTGGACATCTGCTTCATGCAGGTCATTCACCGTGACATCAAGCCAGAAAACTTGTTGAGTTCCGGCCTCAGGGACAGTCATATCAAAGGCTGGCATGCAAGGCCAAGATCTGTGCGGCAGCTCCCCTTCTGCAGTGAATGAGTTTGGTAGGTCAGCCGCATTTCCGCATTTCACATTCGCGCTCTGACATGTGTGGAAACATACCCGCCACAAACTAGCTGGTGCTTAAGGGACAGTGGTCGAATGGATCGTATTACAATCATCCCTATGATATAATTCCAATATGTACCCCTATAAGAGTCCCTATATTCACTCCCCCGCTCCCCCTTAGTCACCAGTAAGTACAGAGGAAGAGTTTTAAACCCTAAACCTTCAATCCTAAACCCTAAACCCTAAACCTTAAACCCTAAATCTAAGACGCTAACCCTAAACCCCAAATCCTAGACCTAAACTTTAGACCATAAAACCTTCAGTTAAAACTCTGCTCAGTCAATCCTGCGGATAATGCACTGCGACTATGTGACTTCGGGTTTGCCCGGACCATGAGCTGGCGCCTCAGATAGGGTTTAGGGTATTAGGGTTTGGGGTTCAGGGTTAAGCGTTTAGGGCTTAGGATTTGGGGTTTACTGTTTATTAGTAGGGAATAAGAGAATCTAATCCCTATTTAATCCCTATTCGCTACTAACCCTGGACCCTTCAACATATTTCTCCCTAAACCCTAAACCCTAAACCCCTAAACCCTATTCCCTACTAAGAACCAGTAAGCTCGGGATCCTCAGGGTTGTGGAGCTGTACGGGGAAGAGCTGCAGGGATCGTTGAGGGCCGGGGAGTGACAACATGCTCAGTTGCAGCTCTTTGCATCACCAAGGCTGTGCCATGCATGTGGGTTTTAGGGTTTAGGGTTTAGGGGTTTAGGGGTTTAGGGGTTTAGGGGTTTAGGGTTTAGGGTTTAGGGTTTCCAGAATGGGAGGCCCCAACATACACCCGAAAAGGCTGTCATGCTTATCATCGGTACCCCCCTCATGTTGTACCCCGACCTTAGGCGCGGACACTCCACTGACGGCGCTTGGCTCAGACCCTCACTCTTTGATACTGCTCAAGGCATACACTGGACATAGGATTGTACGCATTTGAGTTGGTGCCCCACAATCCATCAACCATATGGGACATTCTACTTATTACGATTGTAGTCTTAGATTGTAGTATTGGGTTCTAGATTTGGGACCCCTACATATGGTATATAACCCTTGGACGTGAATCGGAACAAAGCCCGAGGCCCATGTCCCTAACCTCTAAATGGGGGTTTCCCAAAATTAGGGTACCCTTTTCGGGGTCCCAATAATAAGGACTAGAGTATATTGGGGTCTATATTGGGGTCCCCTCATTTTGGGAAACTATAAACCCTAAACCCTATTAAACCCTAAACCCTAAACCCTAATCCCTAAACCCTAAACCCTAAACCCCTTATTTGGGGAAACTACCAAATCCTGTCTGTTAGGACTACGTCGCGACTCGGTGGTACCGCGCGCCAGAGCTCCTTTTAGGTTCCACACATTATGGAAAGGACCGCACCGGTTTAGGGTTTAGAGTTTAGGGTTTAGGGTTTAGGGTTTAGGGTTTAGTTGGGAGGGACCCCTGAGAGGGACCTGAATCCCAGTACCTTCTATAACCCTTATATGGTCCTTATATATCCCCTATATACCAAGGTAGTCCCCAGATTTCCCCAAACCGAAACCCCAAACCTCAAACCCGAAACCCTTAACCCTAAACTCCAAACCCTAAACCCTAAACCCCAAACCCTGTGCGAGGATGTAGATATTTGGGCGGTTGGCTGCATCATGGGCTGCAGCCTCGGCTACAGGGATCATCAGCGCAGCTCTCTTGGGTTTAGGATTTGGGATTACATAGGGTTTAGGGTTTAGGGTTTGGGATTTACGGTTTAGGGTTTGGGGTTTAGGGTTTAGGGTTACATGGGCTTATATGGGACGATATAGGGTTATGGGATTATATGGGGTTATGTAGGTGAGATAGGGACATTGCCTCCCATAATCAGCGCAGTCCTATGGGTTTAAGGGTTGTACCATTTTATAGGGATTATGGGAATACATGGGTTTAAAGTTTAGGGTGTAGGGTTTGGGGTTCAGGGTTTGGGGTTTAGGGTGTAGGGTTTGGGGTTTAAGGTTGAGGGACACTACCTCCAATAATCAGTTATATAGAGTTTACAAGGGGGTCATATAGGTATTTTTAGGGCTTACATGAGTGTTCTATAGTGGTATATAGGGTTTAGGGTTTATGTTACCTCCAATGATGGAGAATGGAATGGAAAAGCAGATGGACAATCACATGGAACATGAAATGGCAATTAGAGGTATAGGGTCGCTTATGTGAGCTGCTGTCAACATTAGGCTTCCCCAGGTGGGGGATCATCGGGGTCCACTGTGTAATTTAGTATAGTCCCGAATGTGTTCCCGAATGGGAGCCCATGTCCATTGAAAATCTCAGACGTGTTGGCTGTTGCTCACATGGCTACTCCCTTGTTCTCTCTCTCTCTCTCTCTCTGTTACAAGCTTATTACTCGTTTATGGCTTATATCGCCCTGTAGTTAATACTACAGAATTATGGATGTCCCTAATGTTTTGTACTAGTAATATACCTACCTAGTATTAGTGACTGTAATGGATGGTAGCGATCATATCAGGATCCTCTTACATTCCTTTTGCACGACTATTACAGGCTGGGGGATCCACCTTTAGGACCTAATACCCTGGCTTTGAGAGCCCTTGATTTGAACAAAGCTTCAACAGCTGAACCCTAAACCCACTGGGTTTAGGGGTTCAGGGTTTAGGGCTTGGGGTTGTCCAATCCCAGTCTGAATTCATTGTTCCATTTTCTTTCTCATGTGGTTCTCCAATACCCAGTTTTTTCAACTCTAAGCCCCAAATCCCAAACCCTAAGCCCATAAACCCATAAACCCCAAGCCCTAAACCCTGCGAACCCTAAACCCTAAACCCTTAAACCCTAAATCCCAATCCCTAAACCCGAAACCCTAAACCCTAAACTCTAAACCCTAAATCCCAATCCCCAAACCCTAAACCCCACAGGTGAACTCACAGATGGCCAGCCGCTTTTCGCCGGCGAGTCGGAGGCGGCCTTCGAACCATGGGAGCTATGTAGGGTTTAGGGTTTAGGGTTTAGGGTTTAGGATTTAAGGTTTAGAGTTTAGGGTTTAGGGTGTTTTTTGGGGGGTTTGGGAGTTTGGGAATCTAAGATTAGGGTTTACGGTTATATGGGTTTCATATAGGGAGAGAGAGAGAGAGAGATATATGTATATATACATATATGTATATATAGTATGTATAAGGGGTACACAGGAGTTTTATAGGGGTATAGAGGGTTTAGGGATAGAACAGAACTATGGATAATCACATGGCAAAGTAGATGAAACATGACATAGGAACTGGGTTTAGTAGAGAGGGTGAGTCCATGCATGAAGATGTTTTGGACACTAAGCCCTAAACCCTAAACGACGGCCTCCGAGACAAGCTCATGGATGGAGAAGCTTGGACCACGGTCAGTGCCTTGTTGGCTGCATATGAAGGCGAACCAGGTGAGTGACACCGAGTGGACGCTGTAGATGCGTGGGCCTGTACGTGGGAGAGAAGGGTGAGCTGACGCTTCCGGGAGAGAATGTCGCATGCGTGGATAGTCAGACGGCTGAAGAGAACGCGAACGTCAAGAAGCGCATCATCAACGAAATCCTCAAGGAAAGAAAGCTGCTGTTGGCGGCCAAGAAGGCCCGGGCTGAGGATGAAATTGCCATGAAAGAAGCTCTTGAAAAAGTCGACGGTGTGGGAGAGTATGGGGCTTCTTCGAAAGAGGCGACAGGGACCAAGCGTGCGCACGATGAAGGGCAACCAGCTCGTCGGGGTCAAGCAGTGAGGTTCAGAGGGTTTCCATTGTGGTACCGACTGATATGCAGTGGCATCTTAGCCCGAGTGACGTGGCCGAATGGCAGCACAAAGGTGGAGGTGTGGCTCCGTAAGGGCAATGAGGGCAAGGATTGACATTTTGTCATGAGATGTCGATGTTTGAATGCATGTCAATATGTATACTCCTGATCCTCGAAATGACAGCGTGTTCCCAACAAACCAGTGCTGCACTGGCAGGCGTAAAAGTCCGCTGGTTAAAAAACACAAGCTGTAAACCAGGTAGATCAGCTCTTCGTTATCCAGAAGGCCGGCAGCCCAGAGTATCCAAAGAGTTCCAGAATTTCGGGACAAGTTTCACCAAGTGAGACGGGGCGAGTATTGCTATTCCTATTATTCTGATTATCATGATAAGTAATACTACAATTACTATCAGTATGATTATTCTTGACGTTACTCTTACTCCAACTCTTACTCTTCCTATTACTCCTATTGAGCAGCTCTCATTGTTTATGGGCTCAGGTGCTGGGACCGCTGACCCCCGAACACATGGAGATGTTCCTCAGAAATCCACGTTTTTTGGGCATACAGGCCTGAAACGGAGTATAAGTAAGAATAGTGCAATAGCGATAATAGTAGTATTAGTAATTCGAGTAAGAATAGTCAGAATAGTTATAACAGTAATAATGTCAAGAATCCTGATGATATGATAATAGTAATGATAATGGTAAGAATAGTTCCTGCGGAGACGTTCGATGGTTAATTTCCGACTTCGTGGAGTCAAGACCTTAAACCCTAAACCGCGCCTGGCAGTTCCCGGATGTGAGCCGTCCAGAGACCCTGGAGAAGCGTTACCTGCGGCGGATGCCAAAGCTACAGATGCAGCTGCTGAAGGACCGCCCAAAACCACCGGCTAAGAGAATGGGTTGTGTACAGCAAGCTGAGCAATCAACAACATGTGCTTGAACCAACCCTAGACCCTAAACCCTAAACCCTAAACCCTGAACCCTAAACCCTAAACAGCCTTAAGCTTTGAAGCCGGCTCCAGCGGCAGGGCATTCTTGTGATGGAGCCCCGGCGACGCCTAAGCGCCCGGGAGATGCTGCGGATGCCTTGGTTTGAGGCGGTTCAGGGTTTAGGGTGTAGGGTTTAGGGTTGCCTTGGTTTGAGGCCTTCGGAGTGGCGGTTTTGTTCATTAATCTTATGTGAGTTTCCCAAAATTAGGGGTACCTTTTTGGGGGTCCCAATAATGAGGACTCTAGTATTTTGGGGTCTATATTGGGGTCCCCCCATTTTGAGAAATTACCTTATCATTATTATTTCTATTTTCATTATTCTTACTATTACTGCTATTGTCATTATGATTACTATCATTACTATAATAACTGTTATTATTATAACAGCTATTATTACCATTAGTCCTGTGAAGCCCATGGACCCTTGTGCGTATGTGGCAGGGCATCAAGCTGCCAAGATCACTGCGGCCTCCTTCCCAGACGCAGTCCCGGAGCATGAGGCAAGAAGAAGCTTGCTACTGCAGACTCCGTAGCCTACAGAGCAGCACAAAGCCAGGCCCGAGTCGAGTGGCTCCGCAAGAAGCTGAGAAATTGTTAATCGTCGTTAGAAGCTCATTCATCTGAATTTAGCTCGCACCCACAGGTTCCAGCCGTTTCTGCGGCGCAGGGCGAGCGGACGCTGCAGGCTGAGCGTACTCCGCCAGCGGAGCGGACGCCGCCAGCGGAGCGGACGCCGCAGCCAGCTGCACGGCCTGCGCAGGCGTCTGGGAAGTGTCCGATTTTGGGAGGACTAGGGCGTTCTCTTTTTGGCTGCCCTTGTCAGACCGTGCCGATGATGCAGCCTCCACCACAGGAGGTGGGCCGTCAGAATCTTCAACAGGTGAAGTGAGGCTGCACGCCGCCTCAAAACACCATCAGGCTTCTGCAACACCGTCTTGGCACTACGAGCAACAGATGCGTCTGGAGCAACTGCTGTCCCAGCTCATGCCGGGGCCTTGTAAAATGCTGTGCTACTTGATGAGTCGTCTGTTTCGAGTGGTGGGGTCCGTGCCTGAACTCTAAGGCAGCAGGGTGAAGGCGGTGCAAATGCCAGCTTTCCAGCAGGGCCGTGCGCTCATTGGGTGGAGTGGCCAGCAGAGACCGCAATGTCCTCTCTTTCAGGCATCATCCGCACCAGCCACATCAGCAGCATCCACAGCACCAGCCGCATCAGCCACATCAGTCTCATCAGCCTGTGCCTGGCGATCGCAGGCCAGCGGGAGCATGCTAATGAAATCCACCGTCCTATAGTGAACTGGCGAGCTCGGTGATCAGATCTGGGCGATGCTTTTAAACAAGTCAAGCAAATGCTGCAGCAGGACGCATCAGTACATGCTGCCGTGGGAGGTCCACATCTTAGATCATGGAACTGAAGTCTGTTTTTGTTTTAGCAAATAGTAAAGCTTTCACGACAATGCCTTGGAGTTTTTCCTGGGCTGTTGCTTTGACTTAGAATCAGGGAATGTAATCCCTATATCTATTTGGCATATTCCACAATCCCTAGATAAGCCCATAGTCCCTTTATAATCCGTATATAATATAATCCGCAATCCGAAGATGATAAATTCCCTTATTCCCTACTAACCCCAGTAAGTGCCCTAGACCCCACACCCTAGACCCCAGACCCCAAACCCAAAACCCTAAATTCTAAACCCAAAACCCTAAACCCTAAATCCAAAACCCTAAACCCTAAATCCTAAATCCTAAACCCTAAACGCTAAACCCTAAACCCTAAATCCTAAACTACAGACCCTACAC